GCTCAACAAGAGAGCAATTGTATAATGCTGATTGGGTTTGTATAATGCTGATTGGTTCAAAATCTAAAGCGCGTATTGTTGTAAAATCATTTGATGAGTTTATCCAACTATCTCACATTTGTTGCAGTATGTTGCAGTAAGGGACTATTTTAAAGTAAGTCTTCTTCAAATGGATATGAACGATAGAACTATGCTGCAAACCTGCATCTTCCAATGTAGCTGTTTCAATTTTCAATGGACGCGGCATCGATGGTACCACTCTTTCAAAACCTTTGGTGCTTTCAATTGAAGCTGGCGCAAATACACAGATGATACTGTTTGATTCTATATGAGCGCAAGTGATACCGTTGAAACAAGAAAACACATCTCCGTGGTCAGTCGTGATGGATTAATTTGGGCATCTGAATTTCGTCACATGCCACATATCATATATACACATAGTTTACCACGGACTCAAAGACGCCTAGATAGAACTATGACAGACTGCGCTAGTGGCTGAGGCTGACTAGAAGAAGTGATGCCAAGCAGGTATCATTTTGGCAAAATGTCAGAAATATGTGACAACCGCGTTTTTGCATCAACCATGCATGTTTCCAGACTACGACACAACATGATTCATTGGCTTGGGGAAAGCATGAATTGTACACTATAGACACATATTTTATTATGCTTGTAAAGTATGCCACCGCCAAGCACAGCGCCCATTTTTCAACTAACGCATTTTCCAGCTTCCGCTAATGCAGAGTCATTATGCGTTACCATGACATTAAGCAAGGTATGACATGCTAATTGCACAAGGACACATTCGATGGGATTAATGATACTACATGTATCATATGGGGCCAAACCTATAAAAAACACATTGGATTGACATACAAAGAACAAGACCTACGGCCACAGTAGGATAAGCATCGATGAAATACTGCAGATATCTATAGATGATAGTGAAGTTGTATTCTTGGACAGTAGATTATGTCTCCAAACCTCTTCCTGATGAATGTCCCAGTATTTTGCCATTATTGTCCATCATTTTGTAGACGGATAGACCTGTGAGCTTCATTCCCGTGTCAAAGACTGACATATGTCAGATTCCTTTGTGCTCTCCCAGATGTTTGGTGGTTCCTGGCTCGGTTGCTTTCCCTCGCTGGTGAGGAAATTTCGGAGGGCAATCGCAAGTGTCAGCACACGCACACGAACACGCACAAAATAAAGGACAATAGTATTTTGAGCCTTTTGTACCTGCAAACGGTTTAAAACGGTTTCACAAACGGTTTAAAACGGTTTCGAACGCGGTTACGATCGGTGTCGAACAGTTCACAGGCAGTCCCCTCCCAGTTCCCGAGCTTTTTCGATCTCTATCAGACGGTTCCGGACCTGGTCGGGATTTCCTGCAAAAGTAGTTTTTCCGATTTCTGACTTGTTGAGTTTGTTGTGACAATTCCTCCTGAATCCTGCTTGTGTGCTCTCCCGAAATCTCAGAAGAGGACATTGAACCAGTCCAAGCTTGTCAAGTCAAACGGTTTTTTCTCCCTGGTAGGAGTACTTAGAACAGGAACAATTGACATTGAGTAGTTCAAACTCAACTCACAATCCACGAGTTGCCATATACAAATGCTCAACGTCAGCAGTTTCAAGCTTTTGAATGGTGTCTATGACTTGTGAAGTTATGAATCATGTCATGTCATGTATACCTTTTGGTCACGGATTGATGTATAGGCATCTGAAGATCTCCAGAGCAGAAATCAGCCATCTATTGAAAGTCCAAGATGTATATACATTGCTACAGGATCCATTAAACCGTTTAAGACCGTTTGGGACGGATCCATCAAACCGTTTAAAACCGTTTGGGGGTATATTCATGCAATGGTTTGATATAGCTCGAGATAGTTTACAATAGTTTTAAATAGTGTTGGACACTAGAAGGTCCGCTAAACCGTTTAAAACCGTTTGGTGGTTTCTCTGTAAACCGTTTAAAACCGTTTGGGGACATGCACAAGTTGACTCTTTGAAAGACAGAGTATATATATTCATATTTAATATGCAAAGATCTTGTGCGTACTTGGCATAGCTTGCTGACTCGATACAACATTAGTGCTATAAGCAAACTTGTAAAAGTTCTTGTTGCATTGCCCTACATTTTGCAGTGCTGTATATTGGAGGGCTGAAGTAAGGCCAGGCAGAGCCCATGCGTTCATTTTGTTGGGGTTTGGTGAGTCAAAAGAAGCAAACACACAAGGAACGATGCCTTGTCTTAGAAGAAGTGACTGCATTGGTGAGTGTTTGTTGTAAAATGCCGCTCGATATGACATACTGATGTACCAAGGGGAAAATGATGTACAGGGTGTATGGTCGTACATTCCCTGATTGAAACCTATGGTGCAACTGAATGGAGTCCTGTCAAGCAAGAAGCAGCATCACGTTCTGCATCACTACTTATCATTCATCACTGTGATTGCTGATGACTTTTTCCTGCCAGCACCTACTAAATAGTATTGTCCATGGTGTCTGTGTGGCAAGCAGCAACAATCCAAGGCAAAATTAATTCATAATTAGATAGCAGGACTTGATACAACTAACAAAATACCTGAACTGGATTGTTTTTAAAGTATACTATACTTGGTTGTTTTTCCAGACTCGCAGGGACTCATCTCTATTTCTCAACCTTGATCCACTGAACAGTTTTTTCTCACGTCTCTGCCAAATGCACCATTACCTTAATCGAACTATTTATGAACATGGCTCACGATTCCGACATGAGTTACTCATATTTAAACAATTTTACGCGTGTCCAAACTATAGCAACCCGCCTTTCTGTTTATATCATCCAATGGAAACTAAATGAAAAATTTACATCCCGCCCATCCACTCCAAAACTGTGATTTCACAAGGCACCAAAGTTACAAACAAATGGAAGGCCCAACTTCCCAACATTCACAACATCAAGTCCAACATGAAAACTTACAGCACCCACACCAGAGTTCTGGAAAGGCAGAATCAAAACATCAACTCCAACATCAACACTACATAAGGGCAAATTCAGGACATCAACTCCAACATCAACACTTACA